CTTTGTCTCACCAGTAGCGATCATTACTTGCCGTACTAGGTATTCATTTTAAGGCTGAGTAGACCTAGGGAGGGAACCAGGACCAGTTGGAATAAACGCCACTGTATTGATCGTGAGTGGGATTCTAACTCAGCAAAGCAGGCTCGATACGAGAGGGCAAACAAGACATAAACCAGTGGATAGGAAGCCGTTTTTACACCCAAACACGTGCTAAACAAAAGAACACTTGCCATTCGCCACTAAGTGGTGGTTACATCACGGCGTCTGTGCCAGGTCAGGTGCACTTTGAGGCCACGTGAAGTATCAAAGGCTCGCTGACAAGAGGTCACGGGACAGACCCAGGTTGCATGGGTTGGGTGATATGTAGGTCTTGTGGAATTCTCTTCACCTGATAAGGCGATGTTGAATATATAATATTTTCCAGGATCTTTCCCAGCACATTGATGACTGAGAAGCCCTTGTAGTTGTTACAATCTGTGCGGTCCCCCTTCTTAAAAAGTGTGGTCCAACCAGTTGTGATGATGTCATATAGGGCAGTCTGCACACGGTCGCCACCCTCACCATTTAACTTGGGAGATCATATCTGCCCGGCGCTTTTCCTGGTCTGACACTCCGGTTGCCCCTAATACTACTTCCTCCGCAGATGGCACCTCAGACAACCATGCACTCACAAGGGGCGGCTACTTCTGCCAATATTTAAGGCACGGCTGCTCCAGCAGGGTTGTCTCGGCTGAGGGAATTCCCCTCCTCCAAGACCTCATAGAAATGCTCTGCAAACCTGCAGACCTGTTTCTGGGGGTCGGATCACTTTTCTTTCCCTTAAAGATGATGACAGCATACCTGTCAACCCCGTATCAGTGCTTCACTTATTACAGACCAATTCAGACCATATTGGTCACCCCGTGCCCTTAGAAACCCCAACGTTCATCCTACAAAATCCCATCCATCACAAGGGAACATCACAAACAGATAGACAACATTTTTTGCTCGTATTAAAACGGCTGTACACCGGGTGGACCTGAAAACTCAATTTCCCTGTAGTACAAGAATAAGGGGCAACCCGTATGGGCTGAGAGGTATGTGATAGTTGTAGTGCTGCGAATCACTTTTGTTGATGTAATTTCTGATCGCTGGCTACTGGGGCAGACTCCATCTCCCCAGCAAGCCGACGGCCACCACTCATCCCTGCAGCGCCACAACTGATGGGGCAAGTCTCAGGGCACTCGTTTTTGACGCGGAGATGAGAATTTTGTAGCAGCGTCAAAACCACCGTACAGCCAAAAACAGCACCCCCGTATTCCGGTAAACAATACCTCGTTAGGTGAATAATGTATAGCCGAAACAATGCGTTCGATAAGCCGGGTTGGGCAAGGTTTTCCTATAGCATTTGTTCGAATTCTCGTGATATCCGGCAACCACTAGAGGCTGCTACTCTTAGAGGCCGCTGCACTCATCACAATGTAAACTATATTTTTTTCTAGAATGACGACCCCCAATGAAAGAATCGCGATAAATAATCGAATTCCTCAGAGTTGGTGACGTTTCAAACCCTGAGTAAAAACGCGTGTGACATTTGCATTACTTTGCATGCTCAGCATCCAAAGAACAGCATTGAATCTCGTCAGAACTCGCAACACAGGGAACAGCTTTTTTCCTTTGATAATCCCACTTCAAACTCCACGTTTCTGACAGCAATGGGTTCCTTATCACTGGTGAGTGTAGCCGGTGTGAGCTTACATGTGATGAATTTCACGTAGATTTGTGCACACTGCTACGTATTTCTGTAATTGGTACGGAGAGCCAGGTGCGGTTTTTTTACGTATAAGTGTAGGAAATTATGATCAGTGATAGGACTCCAAGTCTCCTTAGTTAAAAAATATGGCAAATATAATCATAGGCAGAATATTACCCAGCGAAAGCGCGTTCGCTTCTTGTCACAGATGTTGGCAGTTCACTTACAGCAGGCCTCCCTGGTTAATACTGCAGTGTGTCCTGTATTAACCACAAAATACTATGCGCCTTCTGCTTGACAGTGGCCCTTGAATATTCAAACTTGTCCAAATTTGGTAAATTAGAATAATTATCGGCAAATCACTCAATTTGGATTTTACTTTACAAACCAAGAATCTCCCCCCACTGACAGACATGCCTGCTTGCAGAACAAGTACGGAGTCTCCTGTCCGCTATTTTCTGATTGCTTATGCCTCAAAAGTACAGAAAGTGGCTATTATTCCCCACAAACTTTGCTTTCGTGACCAGGACAGTGCTATTTTGAAATGTACCTATTTTCAATGAGAAAGCGTGTGTATTTGTGTATTTCCTTGGTCACAAAAGCAAAGTTTGTGGGGAATAATAGCCATCTTCTATACTGTTGAGGCATAAGCAATTCCAAAATAACACTTACTACCCAGGACCAAAAATCGTGTGACATAGCATCGCGCAGGGTTAAATGTGATCATCGTTTATTCCCCGTGTCTAATAATAATGGACTGTTGAGTGGGTGACCACGTTGATGTTTGAAATTGATTCATGACCTCGCACAACACATTTTAGGCAGAAAATGGAATAAAATGTGACAATTGTGAATAATGATACAACGCGTCTAATCTGGATGCAGGAGGACGCGGAGAAGTAGCGTCCCTTTGAGTTTCAACTCAAGTGGCAATGAGTGGCATGAAGCTCAACCCGTATATGCCGGGGAGGTGGGGGAGAAGTCACTCCACAAAATAATCACGTTAAGTCTGTGCAACAAGCAACGCCAAACAATAAAATTATACGATGTGTATATACATTCCTTTGTGTTTCGACGCAAGTGCCAATGAGTGGCATGAAGCTCAACCCGTATCAGCGGGGGTGGGGGGAAGTAACTACACAAAATAATTACGTTAAGTCTGTGCCACAAGCAACCTTAAAAACAATCAAAGTATATGACACATACATATAAATTCCGTGGTAAAGTGTACAGTCTGCTTTGTGTATAGTGCTTTCGGCTAATTGTATCTTCTTACCTCTGCACTAAACAACCTGGCCAGGCAAGGTCATAAACCTGCTTTTGAACGAATATCCCCTTCGGTCACAGGTGTACATTTCCAACTCTTGCCGGGGAGAGGGATACAGGGAGACGCTGTTCCCATTCTAGCCCATTATTGTGAATAGCGGCAATGTGTTCACGAGATAGATGCCAACCAACGTGGTCTGCTGGCCAAGACCAGAGGACTTCAGGAGAGAGTCAGTGTGCTGCAATTCTATCTTGAACGTGCGATTTCATTGAGGGACCGTGAGCTGTGTTGGTGTGGTCTGGGACTGTTTTTGCTGTTGTTTTGCTGAATTGCCCAAGGTTGGGAATTGTTGTACTCTTCCAATTTTTACTTCTCTACTTGATCTATTTTATGTATTTTTTGTAACGGTTAAGCTTTCCTTTCCTATACTTTGCACTCCTATTGTGTTTTTGTATTGTTGGAACTCTCTGACCCGACCCTACTGGACCGTGTGTGGGAAAATAGCTTCAGAGCTCATCGGATTTATCCAAGATAAATAAAGATTCAGATTTTGTGTAGTTTTCTATTCCTCTATACGATGACGTCCTCGATAATCGTAATCGTCAGTTTCAGGAAGATATTTCGTTGCTATGGTTTCTCATCGTACCTTTATATCGGCACGGTGCACACTTTCAGATATCACGCTTAGAAATCATCACGCTTCGAATATAAGCTACAATTCGGATATAAGCACACTGACGTTACACGCACGCGTTTGGCACGAGGACACACTTCGGATATACGCAAACGAGCTCCGATACATGCACGTGCTTGTGTATTTGTATTTCTTCCAGAATATTTGATGAAATTTGCCAGTGGTAAATGCCCCTTCTGAAATACGCACGGCATTGCCACGTGTGTGTGGGGCCACGTGACATCACCAACATTATACAAATCAAGCATGTCAGTCATCACGTGCACGTGCAGCGATAACGCCCAACGTTAAGCCACCGTTACACGTTCAACGAAAAAAAAACACCCACCCAAAACGACAGCAACACACATTCGTAACAACAATAACAACAAAAAGTTAAATGCATTGTCTAAACTTATTCTCTTTATTTCATCCAATGGGAGCGCGGCATTGTCTTGCGGCCGCTGGGACCACCAATGGCTGGGCGTGGCTGGGGTGCCTCTCGGCGTCCAATTGGCGCTCGCGGTGCTGGCGGCCACGGGGGGAGGGGCGAGCGGGGGGGGGAGGGGGGGAGAGAGGGGGGGCAGCAGCAGCGGCGGCAGTGGCGGCAGTGCAACGAGCCGCGGGCGAAGCGACACGGGCGGCTGTCGTGGTCGTCGTGGTCGTCGGTTGCTGTCCCCACGGCTGTCGTGGTCGTGGTGCCGGTGGGGGCCGGTGGGGACAGGGGGGGGGAGGCTGCGAGAGCTTCGCCGCCGCTGTTGGCTCGAGTGACGGCGTCAACGCAGAGAGAGAGAGAGAGAGCCCGGGGTGGACACACCGGGGTGGACACACCGGGGTGGTGGTGGTGACAGAGTGGAGAGGCAGACACCGGGAGAGATACACGGGGAGATAGAGGGGGTGCGGACACGGGGAGAGACAGAGGGGGTGGAGACACGGGGGAGCTAGGGGGAGACACGGGCATTGGATACGAGACCGTGAGAGAGAGATAGAGTGTGTGGTATATAGAGGAGAGAGATAGAGTGTGTGGTATATAGAGGAGAGAGATAGAGTGTGTTTGTGGTATATAGAGGAGAGATAGAGAGTGTGTGTGTGGGGTATATAGAGGAGAGAGAGAGAGTGGGATAGAGGCAGGGAGAGAGCGAGCGAGGTGTGGACGGGGGCAGAACGGGAGAGGGCCTCTGGGGGCATGACCCGGGAGAGGAGGGGAGCGACAAGAGAGGGGACATTGAGACGGGAATAAGGGGATAGATAGAGAGACGCGCAGGGGAGAGAGTGAGAGAGAGATACGTGGGAGGGAGGGAGGAAGGGGAGGAGGGGAGCAATATCGTGGGAGGGGAAGGTAGATGGAGGGATAGGAGGAACAGAAGAACGGAGCCAAAGCGTGAAATCGAGGTAAATTGGCACGCACAGTCAGTGAAGAGGGCTTCAGTGACAGGCGGCGGCGGCGGTGGTGGTGGTGGTGGGTGTCTGAAGAGAGGGGAGAAAGATCGAGGGGACCTGGAGGGAGGAGGAGGAAGAGACGCGGGGAGATGTTGACATCGAGGGTTAAAGGCGATCTCGTGTGACCGTGAAGACCCCGGGGGCTGCCACGCGGTGGGTGTGGGGCCTTGAATGTCCACTGTGGTCGTGGCTTTTTGTGGGATGTGCTGGCAAATTCGTGAATTGTGAACATGAGTGATGGTAGTTTGTTGGTTTGCGACGGTGGTTGTGATCGTGGGGTTTTGATTTTGTGATGTGGTGATCGTGGGTGTTGGTTTTGTGATGTGGTGATTGTGGATGTTGATTTTGTGATGTGGTGATTGTGGATGTTGGTTTTGTGATGGTGGTTGTGATTGTGGATGTTGGTTTTGTGATGTGGTGATTGTGGATGTTGGTTTTGTGATGTGGTGATTGTGGATGTTGATTTTGTGATGTGGTGATTGTGGATGTTGATTTTGTGATGTGGTGATCGTGGATGTTGGTTTTGTGATGTGGTGATTGTGGATGTTGGTTTTGTGATGTGGTGATTGTGGATGTTGGTTTTGTGATGTGGTGATTGTGGATGTTGATTTTGTGATGTGGTGATCGTGGATGTTGGTTTTGTGATGTGGTGATTGTGGATGTTGGTTTTGTGATGGTGGTTGTGGTGTTGATTTGTGATGGTGGTTGTGATTGTGGTGTTGATTTTGTAATGTGATTGTGGATGTTGGTTTTGTGATGTGGTGATTGTGGATGTTGGTTTTGTGATGGTGGTTGTGGTGTTGATTTGTGATGGTGGTTGTGATTGTGGTGTTGATTTTGTAATGTGATTGTGGATGTTGATTTTGTGATGTGGTGATTGTGGATGTTGGTTTTGTGATGTGGTGATTGTGGATGTTGGTTTTGTGATGGTGGTTGTGGTGTTGATTTGTGATGGTGGTTGTGATTGTGGTGTTGATTATGTAATGGTGGTTGTGTTTGTGGGTGTTAATTTTGTGATGATGGTTGTGATTGTGGGTTTTCATTTTGTGATGGTGTTGAATGAGTGTGGTGTTGATTTTGTGGTTACGAATGTATGTGTGGTGGTAATTATATGCGATGGTGGTTGTGATTGTGGTGTTGATTTTGTGATCGTGGTTGTGAATGCGTGTGGTGTTGATTTTGTGGTTGCTAATGTGGGTGGGGTGGTAATTCTGCGATGGTGGTTGTGATTGTGTGCTGGTGATTGTGGTTGTTTATTTTGTAATGGTGGTTGTGAATGTGGGTGTGGTGATTCTGCGATGGTGGTTGTGAATGTGTGTGGTGGTAATGGTGTTGTGAATGTGTGTGTGTGGTGATCTTGTGATGATGGTTGTGATTGTGGTGTTGATTCTGTGATGGTGTTGTGGTTGTGGTGTTGATTCTGTGCTGGTGTTGTGGTTGTGGTGTTGATTCTGTGCTGGTGTTGTGGTTGTGGTGTTATTTCTGTGCTGGTGTTGTGGTTGTGGTGTTGATTCTGTGCTGATGGCTGTGATTGTGGTGTTGATTCTGTGATGGTGGTGTTGAGTTTGTGGAGGTTAGCGCGCTGCGCTACGAACCCGGCCACCCGAGTTCGATTCCTGATCACGGCCAACACCAGGTAACGATTATCTGAACAGGTCCTGGGCCTCTCCTAGGTCGACTCTGCTTCAAATGAGTACCTGGTGTGGTGTGTAGTAAACATCGCCACTGGGGAGACAAAGGCGGCCGGGTGTGGCTGCTGGTCACCCCCCCCTCGCCCCACGTGTGTTGTGCCAGCCCTCAATAGGTGTTTGTTCACGACGCTTACTCCAAAAGTCTTAAGGCCATAATACGGAAGATCTTGATGTGATTGTGGTGTGACTTTGTTGGTGGTGATTGTGGTGTTGATGTCTTGATAGTGATTGTGGCTTTGTTGGTGGTGATTGTGATAATGATGAATGTGTGTGTGTGTGCGGCGTTGATTTTGTGATGGTGGTTGTGGCTTTGGTGGTGGTGATTGTGATAATGATGAATGTGTGTGTGTGTGCGGCGTTGATTTTGTGATGGTGGTTGTGGCTTTGTTGGTGGTGATTGTGATAATGATGAATGTGTGTGTGTGTGCGGCGTTGATTTTGTGATGGTGGTTGTGGCTTTGGTGGTGGTGATTGTGATAATGATGAATGTGTGTGTGTGTGCGGCGTTGATTTTGTGATGGTGGTTGTGGCTTTGGTGGTGGTGATTGTGATAATGATGAATGTGTGTGTGTGCGGCGTTGATTTTGTGATGGTGGTTGTGGCTTTGGTGGTGGTGATTGTGATAATGATGAATGTGTGTGTGTGTGCGGCGTTGATTTTGTGATGGTGGTTGTGGCTTTGTTGGTGGTGATTGTGATAATGATGAATGTGTGTGTGTGCGGCGTTGATTTTGTGATGGTGGTTGTGGCTTTGGTGGTGGTGATTGTGATAATGATGAATGTGTGTGTGTGTGCGGCGTTGATTTTGTGATGGTGGTTGTGGCTTTGTTGGTAGTGATAGTGGTGATGAATGTGTGTGTGTGTGCGGTGCTGATGTCTTGATAGTGGTTGTGGTTTTGTTGGTGGTGATTGTGATAATGATGAATGTGTGTGTGTGCACGGTGTTGATTTTGTGATGTGGTTGTGGTAACCGTGTTGCGTGTAAGGTCGGTGATTGTGCGAGTACGTAATTTGCCGACAATGTGAGTGCACGTATTTGTGATAATAGTGGCTGTGATTTTGTTCATGTTGGTTGTGTGTAATGGTGGTTGTGAGTGTGCCGTGGTTCGTGATGTTAATGAGTGTGGAGACGGCGTTTTATCGCGTGCGGTTGTGATGGGCTACGTTCGCGTGCCAGTTTGCGCTTGTTTGTGATGCCGCTAATCATTGTGATTCGGTTGATTGTTGCCTTCGATTCAAACATTTCAATGGTTTTGGTCATGGCAGTGTGGGTGGTCACGTTTACATTGCTGGCTCTAGCCGTTGATGTGCTGCTTCACTTGTGTGGTGTGATGGTGACTGCGTATGACAATCTGTGATGTTGATTTTGTGGTTGTGTGTGGATTGCATGTGATATTGGCTACTGCAAGCCTGTCAACCACTTATCAGTGCCCCTACCTTATTACAGACCAATTCAGACCTTATTGGTCACCCCGTGCCGCTTATAAATCTCAACGTTCATTCTACAAAGTCCCATAAGAAGGGAGAAACACAAACAGATAGACACAAACAATTGATTGCCCGTATCGAAACGGCTGTACGCCGTATGGACCTGAAAGCTCAATTTCCCTGTACAAGAATGCAGACAAACCGTATGGGCTGATAGGTATGTCACTGTCGTGTTGGTGTTGACTTTTTTCGTCTGGATTATATGTGGATATGATTGTTTTAACGATAGTGGTGGTGGCGGTTTTGGGTTCATGCGTGTGTTGGATAGTACGTTACGGTATTTGTGACCGTGTTTTGATGGCTGTGATGATTGTAAGCTGGTGATTTTTTGTGATTGATTATTGTGTGTGGTGGTAATTTTGATTGTGGAGTGATGGTTGTGGTTGGTGTGATGCTGGTTATTCTAGGTACGGCATCTTGATGTGTTGCCATGGGTTTAATTTGTGGCTGTGTGATATTTAATGTGCACACCTTGGTGATTGTGGTTATGTGTGTGATAATGGCTGTGATTGTGTGTGGTGGTTATGATTGTAATTACCACAATGTGTGATCTTGGTTATCGGTGTTTTGTCATGTTAACGGTTGCGTGGTTGTGGCTACAGCTTTTGAATGCCCGTGATTGTGTCAGTAGAGTAAACGTGTGTGTAGTTATCAGTTTGTTTGCATGCCTGTGTGTCTGCATTGAATCAATGTGCCATGCGTGTTGTGATCGTTGTTATCGCAAAGTGCGTGTGTTTGTTCAATGTTTTCACAGTAAATGCAATCGTGGTTGCGAATGTATAATGTTTGTGTGACTACACATGTGAACGTGTGGTTGTATCATTAGGCCGGTACGTGGTTACGTACTACCTGGACTTGAGTACAATCTGCAAACTTATTTGGCTTTACTTATTTTGTTTTGCAGCTTTTCTTTGGCACAACTGGAGTTCTTGGCCGGTTGCACAAACACGCGGAGACAAAATGTGCATTAGTTTACCCTGCTGCTGCTGCTGCTGCTTAAAGCTGTGAAGCGAAACGCTTTCGCTTAAGTCGCCCTAAGCAAATGAACACAGCCCTTTGCCTCTGAAGAGACTCGTCTCATGTCGTTGGGTGCTCGTCTGGTAATCACGATTACCTGCATGAACAATAACTATGCCTCTTTATTTACCCAGTGAAAGCCTCACTAAGTCTCAAGATAGTTTTTTTTCTTGGGGAGGGTCCTTCATTGTGCTATTTAGCCAATTCCATTTTATGAGTGTTTGGCTTGTGGGAGGAAGCCAGGACACTTAAAGTTGTATTTGTTGTACTGCCATCTGGACATCTTGTAACCTAAGCCTATAAAACACCTGGTATTCCCAGATTCACATTTAAGTATTGTACTAACCAAGCTTAGATCCTCTTGGCTTTCGGCAGCATTATGAAATGGGGCACATTGAGAGCGATTTGGTTGTGGTCATTTTTATGCAACTGGTCACACTCAAGTTTAACATGTAGGCTTTCGCGACCAATATCATTCATATTAGAGGTTTTTTGGGTTGGATCGCGTAAATATATAAATGTGTCGTTAACACCCGCCACCACCCGACACAGCCAACGAGATAGCTTTGTCACGGGAACAGAATGTGGCCAATTTGTCACTAGTACAGCACACCGGTGTGTTGGAGAGCCAAGCCACAATATTTACAATCCGAGTACGACGTTTCGCCAGTAATTACAACTAGCTTCATCAGGCGACAGCCAGATTTGTAGAGAAGTATGTTTCGTTCCTTATATAGAGGCGTAGATGTGACCACGCTTCTGCGCTCTTGTGCAAAGTGGGGGGAGGAGGGGGATTATTGAATCAACGTACATTATGCATGTGCATTATGGTCATACTCCATTAATTAACATTAAAGAGGACCTCATATTTGAAGGGACAAGCTGGTTAAGGTGGTTATTATTTATTCATTTTATTTTGCCCCATAAAGTATTGATGATTGTCGAGACTTTCTGCTGAAGAGTCTTCCATTTGGGGATGTTTGGTCACTATGTAACAGTGAGCTGCTGCATTGTACCAGTGAATGTACTATTGAATGCTATTGAACATCCACATTGGAAAATGTTTGGCATTCGTATTATTATTTCATGCCAAATATTTGCGCGTGTGTTTTTGCTCACTCACGCATCTGTTTCCTGGGCAGAAGACATCTGAGCGAGTTCTACCCCTTCAACTCGTTACTCAACCTCTATTTAATTGACCAGTGCTGACTAATTGATTGATTGAGCTCTTTACCCCTGCATACCCATCCATCCTGACCCTCGACCCCCCTCATTATTCAATTATCGAAGCAATTATTGTCGTCCTTTCTGACCTCATTTGCCCCTGGGCTCGATAGATGTCCCGGTTTCTGCATTCCGTTTTGCTCCTTGAATCTTCCATCTCTGAAAAGGAATATTCAGTGTTGGCTCCAATAGCAGATGCACGAGTCGCTTAGGTTCGTTATAACATTGTTCAAGTCCACCTGCTGCACCCCTTCCATGCAAACTAATGCAGTGGTGAGCCTGCATCGAGGCTATGTAATGATACAACCCCCTCCCCATGATTAAATTCAACAACCACATTGGGAAAGATTTGACCATCTAATTTGTATCGTTGGATTTTTTTTCATCTTTTGTATAGTTTTGTTTTTTTTAGTCTAAATGTTATCACATGATGTTTCCACACTGTAGTCTAGCGTACCCTTGCAAAATAAACGTAGGCTCAACGGGGTCTCACCTGATAATAAGGTAAATATTGTTGCCGACTGTAAGAATGGATTGTAATCCATGAATCGATGTATTCTTACATGTCTCCGTTTAACCCAAGTGCTGAGCTGCTGGAGCTGCATCGTGGCGTTGTGGGAGGCCTTTCTGGGCCAGCCAGAGTTTCATCGACTGCGCAGGGGCTCTGGGGACACATCGTGCGGTGCGTGGTTTCTCCGGCGCCCTGCTTGAGGTACATCACTTGCACAGCGGGGGTTTTCCTGGGGCCTGCCTGGTCTGCGTGGTGGTGGTTCTGTTGAGATTGTAGGAAGCGTGTTGGGACAGTGGTGTGGTGGGTGTGATTGGGAGAATGGTTGGTGGACTTGACTGGCGTTCATCCCATATTTTGACAATTGACTATCACGTTGGATTTTATCGGTTTCTTTGCTTTGATGGATATTGCGTGCCATTCGTGTACACACAGATTTGTAGTGGTTTACTTGTCCGATGTTTGAAATTTGTTGCACGTTTTCTTTTTCCCTTGGCATTTGTGAAGCATTTGTCTTTTAAAGTGCTTTGAGATGCAATACAATGCATTGAAAGAGCTCAATAAATGCAAACCCTTATCCTTTAAAAGGTGGTTTTGGTGAATCTTGCAGACATCATGAGCTGGGCGATTTGCACAAATCATAACCTGGAATTGCAATTCAATCTTGGGATTGAATGTGGTTTCGAATGGATTCCTGAGATTGGCACCCATTGAGCTACATAGCTCTTTTTCAGAAGCGACCTAGCCACAAATGATAGCTCAACGAAGCGGCTTATCATGTGGAAATTTATAGCAGCAAAATACTTTAAATGCACGTTTCTAAATTTGGAGGGAAAACCCGGAGGAACCGGAGAAAAGTCCACGCGACCACGGGGAGAGCATGCAAACTCCAAATATACAAGCGTCAGGGTCTCGATCGATCCCACGACCTGTATACTAGGCGAGGTAGTTAACATCTCAGTGTAACCCTGTGGAGGGGTTGGTCACACGGAGCTCGGTGTACCGTTATGGGGTAAAGAGCGGGGCTATGTGGCCTTGCTGACACCGTGCGTATGGAAAATGTCGATCGCAAGGGATTGGCCTGATAGTTCCTGCCCGATTCCCACATGGCAATTCAGACTAGACAGAAGACCGTGTGAGACGTCGCTGATCTGTTAGAGGTTAGCCCAGGGATGATCCTCACTTGTGCCAATGTGCAGCCTGGATGCATGAAGCAGCTAGGCCCTGGCAATGCACAGAGCAACTAAGTGTAAAACCTAGCATATGCATGGAACAGCGGCGTTTGTTGTCCTTCCCTCGTACCTCTGATTAGCATGGTCGGCTACGTACCGTGGGAAAGACGTTCAACATACATACACATAGCCTTGGAGATTACAGATGTATTCATAAGATCTATATGCGACATTGGAGATGTATTCAGAAGAGAGAGAAGTAATGAGAAGACAGAAGAGAGATGTATAGATACATTACATGGGCACAGCCCTTACATGAGAATGCGCTGAAATCCCAACTCCATGCTGACACTCCACACCTCACTGACCTCCACCACACTTAAGACGCAAGAACACACACTCTCTTGCATACACAACTTAAATCGCTGTTCACCATGAAGTGGTGGTGTCGTCACCACGGCGCTTGTGCCAAGCTAGGTGCACCTTGAGGCCACCTGAAGTGTTGATGGCTCGCTGACAGGAGGTCACAGATCAGACCCGGGTGCCAGGCACACGCTCGCAGACGTGTACATGGACACCCACACAACTCTCTTGAGAGACAAATGCACACACTTGCAGACACATTCAACAACAACCGCCATTCCACACTAAGTGATGATGACGTCACCATGGCACTTGTGTCAGGCCAGGTGCACTTTGAGGCCACGTGAAGAGTCAAAGGCTCGTTGACAGGAGGTTACGGAACAGACCCAGGTGCCATGAGTTGACTGACTGACTGAGATGACTGACAGATGCGCACCACCTGTGCCCCCTGCTATACTTTAGCTGCCCTGTGCTCCGCTCTTTGTTGTGAGCGTTGCTGCTCTGCCCTCTGCTTTTGTTGGTGGGCGACTGCTGCCAACTGCCCAGTAGCCTCCTTCACGAGCCTCCTCCATAGAGGCCGACCTTGACACCTCTGGTACTAGTCTTCAGCAAGTCCGCTCAGCTCCACATCCTCCTGTATCGCATCAGTCCATCTCTTCTGCAGCCTGCGCCATGCCCGTTTAGCCCCCTCTATTTGGCCAAACAGAAGCTGCTTGAGCATGCGGTGGCTGGGTATGCGGGCTACATGACCCAGCCAAGGCAGCCTTGCCTGTTAGAGGAGCTTACGAGTGTGAATGTGTCCGCAAACTAATCTAACTTCACATTCAAAGACAAAGATGCCACGTGTAGCTTTAGCAGACTGTAAGGGCAAGTGCTGTTAGAGGAGGCTGGCACGGGGGGGGGGGGGGGTTGGGTTTCCAGCACCACGCCTGGCCGCCTTTGTCTCCTCGTAACGATGGTTACACACCGTAGTAAGTACTCATTTAAGTCTGAGTCGACCTAGGGGAGGCCCAGAATTGTTTCTGATAATCGCCACTGGTGTTGGCCGTGAGTGGGAATCGAACTCTGGGCGCCAGGTTCATAGTGCAGTGCGCTAACCGCTACACATTCAAACACATAAACACATACATCTATATATATAAAATCGTGCATGTCTGTCTGTGTGTGTGTGTGTGGACTTTGGCCCATACGCACTTTCATTGGACGGCGGTTGCCCCTGGCAACGGCTAGCCACGCCTTCGCCGCTTTCATTGGACCTGGCAACGGCTAGCCACGCCTTCGCCAAGGGCTGCAGTTTCATTGGACGGCGGTTGCCCCTGCCAACGGCTAGCCACGCCTTCGCCACTTTCATAAGCTCCGTATTTAATTAAATAATAGCCATTACACAGTATTGTTGGAGCGCTAGGGGGGGGGGAAGGAACGCCACCCGTACCCTGCCTCTTCCAAGCCGACAATTTTAGGCGAGGCCGCAGGCTTTGCACGCTACTAGGCCTCGACACCCACCACGCCACTCTGAGGTAAATTCATCAAAGTTTTTCCTACTCTTCACTACACCCCCACCACAATGTGTGCTATTAATATTACTTTTAAACCCAACGCGCCAACAATCGATTACTTTAATGTTCACTGTACAAATACTCATTAAGCTGGGTGAGCGTACTGCCAGTCTATCATGTACACTGTAGCCTGCTTATTAAGCTCGGTGAGCGTACTGCCACTCTATCATGTACACTCTAGCCTGCTTATGAAGCTGAGTGCGTGTACTGGCAGTCTATAATGTGGACTCTTGCCTGGTTATTATAATCGATTCTTTATATGTTCTTTGTACAAACAGTCATTAAGCTGCTTGAGCGACCCCAGTTCGATTCCAACTCACGCCCACCACCGCTGACGATTATTTGAAACGGACCTGGCCCTCCTCTAGGTCCACTCAGCCTCAAAAGCGTAACTGCTGTCGTGTGTGAACATCGTCACTGGGGAGACAAAGGCGGCGGGGCATCGTGGATCCAAGTCCCGGGCGAAGCCGGGTCATGTGTATGTGTGTTTGTGTTTATGTGTATGTCTGTGTGTCTCTATGTATGTGTGTATGTATGTGTATGTATGTGTTTGTGTGTATGTGTGTGTGTATGTATGTGGGTTTTTTTTTATGTCTTTATGTGTATGTCTGCGTGTCTCTATGTATGTGTGTATGTACGTGTATGCATGTGTTTGTGTGTATGTATGTGTGTGTCTATGTATGTGTGTGTCTATGTATGTGTGTGTATGTGTGTGTATGTATGTGTGTTATGTGTCTGTCTGTGTCTGCATGTATGTGTGTGTGTTTTGTGTATGTGTTTGTGTGCATGTATGTGTGTGTTTGTGTGTATGTGTATGTCTGTGTGTATGTGTTTGTGTGTATGTGTGTGTATGTATGTGTGTGTATGTGTTTGTATGTGTTTGTGTGTTTACGCTCGCATTACACAAATGTGTTGCTGGTCTAAGGCGTTCCTCGCACAGCATTGCCGCTTTATTATTTCAGTCGTTTACTGCCTTACGCACCCTGAAAGTCGTGTGTGTCTGCAGCAAGCGCGTGTATGTGTACCTATGGACGCGCGCGCGTGTGTTGTGTAGGGGGAACGGTAGTGTAGTGCTTAGCGTGCTGTCTGTGTCTGTGTGTGTGTGTGTCTGTCTGTGTCTGTCTGTGTGTGTCTGCGTGTGTCTGTGTGTGTGTCTGTGCGTGTGTGGTGTGTGAGGAGCGCTGGGTGTAGTGCTTAACGCTACGCTGCGCTACCAACCCGGCGAACCCAGTTCCATTCCCGCTCACGGCCACCACCGGTGACGATTATTTGAACCTCCCCTAGGTCCACTCAGCCTCAAACGAGTAACTGGTGTGGCGTATTAACATCGGCACTTGGGAGACAAAGGCGGCTGGGCGTGGTAGATCCAAGTCCCGGGCGAAGCCGGGTCATGTGTATGTGTTTATGTGTATGTCTGTGTGTCTGTATGCATGTGTGTATGTATGTGTGTGTATGTGTTTGTGTGTATGTCTGTGTGTGTATGTATGTCGGTTTTGCCGCCGTGGTGGATCCAAGTCCCGGGCGAAGCCGGGTCATGTGTATGTGTGTATGTGTTTATGTGTATGTCTGTGTGTCTGTATGCATGTGTGTATGTATGTGTGTGCATGTGTTTGTGTGTATGTATGTGTGTGTGTATGTATGTGGGTTTTTTTGTATGTGTTTATGTGTATGTCTGCGTGCCTGTATGTATGTGTGTATGTACGTCTGTGGATGTGTTCGTGTGTATGTATGTGTGTGTCTATGTATGTGTGTGTATGTGTTTCTGTGTTTGTATGTGTGTGTATGTATGTGTGTTATGTGTCTGTCTGTGTGTCTGCATGTATGTGTGTGTGTATTGTGTATGTGTTTGTGTGTGTTTGTGTGTTTACGCTCGCATTACACAAATGTATAATGCGGGTCTAAGGCGTTCCTTACACAGCATTGCCGCTTTATTATTTCAGTCGTTTACTGCCGTATGCACCCTGAAAGTCGTGTGTGTCTGCAGCAAGCGCGTGTATGTGTACCTATGGACGCGCGCGCGCGTGTGTTGTGTAGGGGGAACGGTAGTGTAGTGCTTAGCGTGCTGCCTGTGTGTGTGTGTCTGTGTGTGTGTGTCTGTGTGTGTGTCTGTGTG